TGTCTCCCTAGCACTCACTTCTGAACACACCATCACAGAAGCTTCTACATTGCTCTGTCCATTTTACTTCACTCTTACAGTCATGCAGCAGGTTTCCTCTGCTTCACTATGCCAAGCAGAAGCCTCTCCACTGTTTTTGCTGGACCCTTTGCAAATCTACACTATTACTTTCTACCACTTTTTCTTATTGTCTCATTTGTCAATTGTTAATACCATCTTTTAATTGTTAATACTGGCTCATTTGTCTTTGTCATATAATGCATCTGCTGCTCCTTCCATTTTTACTCTTCCTAACTTGATCTAGAAGATGCTAGGCTTTTCCCTTCAGTGATTCCACTAGACCTCTGGAGGTAAGGATATATCCAAGTAAGTTGTCATGAATAAAAGTCAGTATAAGTTGTCACAGAATAATTAATGCATTTATATTGGTATGGAAAAATATTAACACATTTATTATCACACATTCAAATACACTCAGCAGTTTCCTCTGTTTCCATTACACGTCCTTCTGTCCCATCCATATTCTCACCCCTCTTTCTCACCAAATGCACATACCCTCTGCGGGTTATATTCTTAGGCTCTGGTTCTAGTGTCATGAAAGATCCTCAGTGCTACCAATGCCTATTTTCTTTCAGGGTCACGACCGTCTTTTCAGACCACCCAAGCACCCAATTTCTTGCTCACTCTCCTCTTATGTGCTGCAGCAGAATTCTCTTCTTTCTCAGGTTTAGGAGTAGCCATCCAGGGCAAAAAATAACCAAAATATGCATGATATTGTGTTAGTCTATCTTCCCCCCAAAAAATAAATACAACATTGAATCTTAGAATCTCTGAGGTTGGAAGGGACCTCTAGTGATCACCTAGATCAGTGCTGCTACTCAAAGAAGGGTGAGGTATACCACGTTGCTCCGGACCATGCCTAGTGTCCTGGGTTGAGTGAGTGGTGGGGTTGTTTTGGTGGCAGGGGAGGGGGGGCTATAGGGGCGTCCCTCTGTGAGAAGCTTCTCCAAGCTCCCCCAGCTCCAAGTCAGCTCCACCTCTGTTTGGAAACTGAGCAAATCAGCTCGCTCCTCTGCGATAACGTATTTAAGTAGTGACATGGTGACAAGCAGTGGGACTTGTGAGGAGGAGTTGCTGCAGCTGCATGAACACCAAGGTCAGTGGAGGAACGGAGGAAGAAAGGAGGAGGGAGGTGTGCCGGAGCAGAGACCCCCCTGTATCCTGTGGTGAGACAGCAGGGCGGCCCGCCCTGCCACCCATGGAGATCTACGGTGGAGCAGACACTGATTTACGGCCTGTGTTTTCTGGCTGGTTGATCAAGGTGCTGTGCCCGAAGAAGGACGGGGTCTCATGGGAAAAGGTAGCCCCGCTGCTGTAATTCAGTGCTGGGAGGATTGCAGCATGTGGGGGTGTCCCACGCCGGAGCAGCTTGGGAGGGGCTGCAGCCCGTGAGAGGGACTCCAGTTGGAGAAAATTGGTGACCTACAATGGAGCAGTGTGAGGAACGCAGTGGCCCATGAGAGGAACTCATGTCGGAGAAAGTTTGTGGAGGACTGTCTCCTGTGAGAGGGGGACCACGATGGAGCAGGGGGAACAAGTTCCAGAAGCTCCCCCCACTGAAGGCAGAAGAAGTGGCAGCATTGACTGCACCCCCCCATTCCTTGCCCCTGTGATGCTGGGGGGAGGAGGTAGAGATATCGGGAGCAGAGCTGAGCCCGGGAAGAAGGGAGAGGTGGGGGGAAGGTGTTCTCAAGATGTGGCAATGCTTCTCACTGTCCTACTCTGTTAAGTGTTGTTAGTGTCTCTAATAAATGTATGTTCTTTTTTTTTTTTCCCCTAACGAGTCTGCCTTTTGCTCATGACCATAAAGGGTGATTTTTTTCCCCATCCCAGTCCTATCTCAAACCCCAAGCCTGGCTCTCTGACCCTTCTTATTGCCAGAAGAGGAGGGAGAGAGAGTGGCTGCATGGTGTTTGGCTGCCAACCAGGCTCAAACCACAACACTTAGTCAGAATGTGAATATCTCCATGGATGGAAACACCTCAGCCTTTCTGGGCAACTGTCTCCAGTGTTTGACTACCATCACAGGAAAAAAGTTTTATCTCTTTTCTGACGGAATATTGCCATATTTTTTGTACTTTGTAGGATACTTAAAACACTAATTCCAACAGTATTTAATGATAATGATTATAATAACCTGCATCTCTTTGAACTCCCCTCAATACATATGCACACAGCTAAAGGAAGTTAACTAGACTATAGCTTCTTTTCCCAGTCTCTCTGCAACTCCAGTGCAAGTGGTTAGTGATTTGTGGCTAACCATTCATGTGCTGTGAGGAAGATGAGCCAACAGGTCAAACCACACACACACCAAAAAAAAAAAAAAAAAAAAAAAAAGGATAGGAAATTAATCTGAATACAAATTGGAGCTCTGCAGACATATGAAAGACATTCTGAATAGCTCAAACATGCATGCCATCCATGTTAAACAGTCTGACACAGCAGATTTGTGTTGTCCTCCATAAAAGCAAGTTTGTATCATTGAACCAAATTCAATGAATTCTCTCTGGATACACCAGCCCCCTCCTCCCATTCCAAAATGATGAAAGCAGAGAGGAATTTTCACATCTATTTCTGTTCTTATTTTTGGCTTTTGTTTTTGTTTCTGTTTTTTTTTTTTTTTAACATGCCGGAAAATAAAAATGCTATTTGCATCACACCTCAGACACTCAAGACACAGCTCAGCTGTGGTAGGGGAAAGTGTCTGTGTGTATCATGATATCCACTGTGAAAAAGTTACTGATGATCTGTACGTGTTCAGTCAAGTAAATAAAGCCATCCTAAACTGTCTCTGTGTCTAGGAAATATGTCTCACAACATGAAACAACATATTTGATGTGAGAAACAAGCCCACGCATATATATAAAAAAAAAAAATTATTGGGGACAAAGTCAGTGGAGCAAAGAATACAGCGCTGGGTGCAATGGCGTGCCCTGGAGCCAGAAGGGGCTCCCTTTTATTGTATAAAAGGTTACATATTCATCTACTCTAATACATATGCATCACTACTCCAAGGATAGGGAGGGAATATTACAATTAGTTCCGAGAAATCATTAACGTATCCCCCCACCCGAAATTCCTCCCGTCACGCTTGCGCAGTGCTCCCTGGTGGTCGTGGGCAGGGGGCTTCAGATGAAGGCTCGTAGTCTTCTTCACTGTGTTCGCTCGCTGACCCTTACTTCTGTACAAACTCAGTCCAGTAGTCACGTACACCTTGTCCTTCAAGTCCGGGCCAATTTGCAGCTCCTTTGTCTTTATGGCTCAGTGGTTTCAGTTCCTCTTATCTCAAGGACAAGGGATAGCAGAGATGGCCCATCCTGTTCTTTCTCATTCCATTGCAAAGGAGTTACCATCCTTTGATATGGACCATTTGGTGAGCATCCCAAGAAGGGGGAGGGCTGTTGGGTTGGTGTTTCCTCAGATCAATTCCCCCCTTTTCTTTTCCCAGTAGTAAATTCTTTTCTTAAAATTTGGATCGTTGTATTAATAATAGCTTTAGCCTAACTCAATAAAAGTAATTGTTTAATTACTTTTAGCGAAAGCAAAATTCTTCTATTATTTATCACATTTGAGCTTCAGAGTAAGTTTGTGCAACCTTAGGAAGAATCACAATTGGAAAGTGGAAAGCTGTGTTCGCCCACACACTATTGTATAAGATGAAGAATACCATTACAACTCAGGCTTACAAACCTTTATGCATATGATATCTAAACATGAATTTCTTAGTGACGTGCGGAAAACAGACTCCACAATCTGATAGATTGTAAAGTAGGTATGTTTATTCAGCGCTGGGCACATAGGGGATCACTCCTCCAAATATGTGCTGAACTTTTCACCCCGAATTCCTGCGCAGTCTCTGTCACCCCCTGGACCCGCAGAGCAGGTTTGTGCCGGTTGTGGGGTAATCTTCACTTACTCAGGGGTGGAGGAGGCTTTTTACTTAAACAGGAGATAGTGGTCGAGCAACACAAACACCTCGTACAAGCTAGGCAAACCCTTATCTCGACTATTTCTCTCATCATCCCCTTCTTGCTATTCCCATATTAACCCTTACATCCCCTGTTCCTATCTAGGCCCTGTATCAATCCCCCCTTTTCTTATCATACTAAGTAAATTCTTTTGCTTCAACAATTTTCCCAAATAATATAAAGCCTCATGCATAGCAGTTATCCTTTTAAACATTCTCCAGACCCATAAATATAACATGATGGTTAGTACTAATAAAATTCCTAAACTACCTAGTAGGATCACAATGGGGTGTATCATAGTGTTAAGAATCCCTGTTGCAGAAGGCGACCAGCCGAAAAAAGTATCCCACCAGTTATGACTTGCATCTTGTTTTGCTCTTTGCAAAACCCTGTTTATTTCTTTTGTATCATGGTGAACAGTGACTAAAGTTTTCTCTCCGTTTTTCTGAATTTCTCTCAAGATCCCCAACAGATCTTGGTGTTTAATCAATTGCCTTACTAATGTAAGGTTCATTCCAATAGGTGTAGGTGATAACTCGAGATACCCTGTGATTTTAAATTTTATCAACTGGTGGGAAACCACTGGTGCCCAATATACAAAGTCACACCCAATGATCTTAACAAAGTTACAAATACAGAAATTAGAATGATTCCCAATGGGCAAAGTTACATTGTCATGATCTATCTCTACGAATACACAAGCAGTTCTTAAACATATACAGCCTTGACCAGTATATACAATCACCGTTTTTTACTATTATCTGGGTGAATTTCGAAGTGGCAAATACTTTGCTCAGTGTCAAGGCATACATCTTGGGCATCAATTGTATTACTTTCACAAATGAACCCCTGTTGTTCTTGGGTAATACAAGATTCCACATTTACAGTCTGCCATTTCTCATTCACCTTCCGGGCCCATGCTCTATGTTCTGAAGGATAGAGCACTGTGTCCTCATGATTCAATCCTAATGCAATGATGGGGTGGATTACATAAACTGTGGCATTATGTATAGTGAGCACAAAGGCAGTAGCTATGTTAGTAGTGGGGTCATAAGTAAAATTCACCATAGTCCACCAAGATTGGAATCTCCTTTCAAAATTGGTGGCTTTGTCCCAAACAGCCTTTGTTTTCCTGCCCAGTAAGTAGAGCTATTAAATGCTCTGCATCTGAATTTTCATTTCTTGTCCCAATGTTCCCTGCAATTGTGGTTCTCCTGGATAGGCATCCCATTCTTCTTTTGTGGGCACATTTCTCCCCTGCATAACTATAGTAGCCAACGTGTGGTTGCTCACATTTCTAGTCTTATTAGTATGCCCAATGTAAGCCTGGGACCATGGCCATTCACTGAACCTTCGACTATGCATTAGAGGAAAAATGATTATCAGACTTATCGTGAGAAGCGTAATCTTCCTGGCCGAACTTGGGTAACTTTCCATGGGGATTTATGGGCTTTCTTTACTCGGGTGTGATGTATCCAGGCCGAGTATTCCCTAATCTTGATGGCTGTAAACGTCGTGAGCAGCACCTGGAATGGCCCTTCCCACTGTGGCTCCAAGGTTTTCTCTGTAAGAGACTTAACATACACATAGTCCCCAGGTTGTATATCATGTACAGGTCCATCCAGCCCTCTACCTCGAGTACCAATTACATGTTTTCTGATCTTATTGAGTTGCTTCCCTAACGCCACCATGTAGGAGCTCATGATTTCATCTCCAATTTGTGTGGATATTCCTTTTTGTACCCCGTATGGTTGTCCATATAAAATTTCAAAGGGGCTTAGCCCTTCCCTTGCCCTTGGCCTTGTCCGTATGCATAAAAGGGCCAAGGGCAAGGACTGAGGTCATGTCAGGTTTGCTTCTTGCCCCAATTTTACAATTTGCTGTTTGATTAAGTGGTTCATCTTTTCCACTTGACCGCTTGACTGAGGGTGGTACGGGGTATGAAGCTGCCAATCTATACCCAAATGGTGGCTAATTTGTTGTACTACTTTTGAGACAAAGTGTGGTCCTCTATCTGAGGATATGATTGCCGGAACCCCAAATCGTGGTATTATTTCTTGTATCAGTACTTTAGTTACCTCCCGAGCCTTAGCTGTTCTAGTAGGGAATGCTTCTGGCCAGCCTGAAAAGGTATCAGTCAGTACCAACAAATATCGATACCCCCCTTTTCTTGGTAATTCCGTAAAATCTACTTGCCATTGTTGCCCAGGCCCGTTGCCCTTCCCAATCTGACCCATTTCTAGTTTGGGGGCGTTTTGGGGATTAGTCCGGAGGCAGATGTCGCATTGTCGAGTCACCTGCCTTACCGTGGTATACAAATTTCTGGCTACAATCTCTTTTATCAAATGACTATACAAAGCTTCTGCTCCCCAGTGTCTCTTTCTATGCTCCTCTCGTGTGAAATGCCATAGTAAACGAGAGGGGATAATTAACTTCCCCTGTGGGGTATAAGCCCACCCTTCCTTGTTATATGTCCCTTCCAGATCTGCAATAAGTTTCTGATCCTCCCTGGTATATTCTGGTTTACTTTCCAGGGAAATTTGCCTATCGGGAATAAGTGCTCCTTCCATCTTTATCTCTATTTTGGCAGCCCGTTTTGCCTCCCTATCCGCCAGCTCGTTGCCTTTTTCCAATTCAGAGTTCACCTTTTGGTGTGCTTTAGTATGCATAATCGCCACCTTCTCAGGAAGTTGAACAGCTTCTAATAGTTTAAAAATTTCCTCCGCATGTTTGATGTTTTTCCCTTGGGAGTTCAATAGTCCTCTTTCTTTCCAAATTGCTCCATGTGCGTGCACAACTCCGAAAGCGTATTTGGAGTCCGTGTATATGTTTATGATCTTACCCTTGGCCAGTTCCAGGGCTCGAGTTAAAGCGATTATTTCTGCCTTTTGTGCAGAAGTATTTGCAGGCAGAGGTCCTGATTCTATTACTTTTGACTGGTGGTAACGGCATACCCTGCGTGTCGATTACCGTTCAGGACGTAACTGCTTCCGTCCGTGAACCAGTTCTCCTCATCCTTCATGGGGCTTTCCTTCAGGTCAGGGCGACTTGAGTATGTCGTCTCAATTGTTTCCAGACAGTCATGGTGCACTGGTTCCCCCACGTTACCGCTGAGGAAAGAAGCTGGGTTGACAATATTAGTGACTATTATCTGTACATCATCTTGTTCTACTAGTGCAGCTTGATATCTCAGAAATCTTTGTGGGGAGAGCCAATGCCCTCCCTTTGCTTCCAGGACTGCCGATACTGTATGGGACACATAGGCAGTCATTTTCTGGCCCAGAGTGAACTTCCGAGCTTCCTGTATGTTCAGTATCAGGGCAGCCACCGCTCGCAGACACCCAGGCCACCCTTTTGCAGTCGCATCTAGTTGTTTAGAGAGGTAGGCGACAGCTCGTCGGTATGGACCTAGGTCTTGTGCCAGTATTCCCAGGGCAGTGCCCTGCTTCTCATGAGAAAAGAGAAGAAACGGTTTACTCACATCTGGAAGTCCTAGAGCCGGGGCCGACATCAAAGCCTTCTTCAGTGAATCGAAGGCTCGCTCAGCCTCCTCATCCCATTCGAGGTGCGTCTGTTCGGTGTTCGTTAGCGCATACAGGGGCTTAACAAGCAGTCCATAATTATAGATCCATAGCCTGCACCACCCCGTCATTCCCAAGAAGGTTCTTAATTCTTTTACTGTCTGAGGTTTCGGGGTTTAACATATGGCCTCCTTACGGGACTGTCCCGAAGTTCTTTGCCCCGCAGTGATCTCATAGCCCAGGTAGTTTACTTTGCGTTGTATCACCTGGGATTTCTTCTTAGAGACCCGATACCCCCGTAGTCCTAGAAAATTTAACAAGCTCACCGTCCATGTTGCACAGTCCCCTTCTGTCTCAGTAGCGATCAAAATGTCGTCCACGTACTGCAATAATTTTCCTTTTTCGGATGGGGCTTCCCAGGATTCCAAGTCCTTTGCAAGCTGGTTGCCAAAAAGAGTAGGGCTATTCTTGAACCCTTGTGGCAACACTGTCCAGGTGAGCTGGGTCTTTCGACCAGTTTTAGGATTTTCCCATTCAAATGCAAACAACTTTTGGCTGGCTTTATGGAGAGGAAGGCAAAAGAAGGCGTCCTTCAAATCTAAGACAGTAAACCAAATCAACTTTAAAGGTTTACAAAAATATGCCTTTTCAGATTGGCCGGTCACTCCCTTTACCATAACATAGTCGTCCCCCAGTGGTATTAAAGCTTGATTCAAAACAGAGTACGTTGCTCCTGTGTCTACCAAAAGTTTTACTTCTTCTTGTTCTCTCCCCAGCTTAAGTTTAACCAGTGGATCCACCAGGGTAGATCCCCCAGGTCCCCGTCAGTCCTCTGTTACATTTGCTATTTTTACATTCATTGAAGCCTTCCCATTCTCCAACCCTTGCACAAAGCACTCTGATCCCGCCCCAGCCGCGGTCGTTGCCTGGCCGGTCTCTGAACCAGAGTGGCCATCAACTTCATCTGTCCTTGTCGACCTTCTTCTTCCCTGTTGCTAAACACTTTCCACGCCTCCTCTAACAATACCTCCAGATTCCCACTTTCCGTAGGGCGCAGCTTCTGAAGTTTTCCACCTTATCCACCTTTGTACATCTCTGTCCAATACTACATGATGAGCAACACCTCTTTAGCTTACCCCTACTTTCCTTACTTTCTCGTTCAAGTGCGAGCACCATAGGGTCCTGTGGGGGTACTAACCCACAGTCCCTTTGCCACTCTGGGTGGTTTCGCAAAGTGAAAAACATATCTGCGTATGATACCTCATCCCATTTTCCTTCTCTCCTTAAAAAACAACATAAGTTGTAACAAAGTGTTATAGTCCAGTGTTCCATTAAGCGGCCATTTAGCACCATCCTCCAGCTTATACAGCGGCCACCACTGATTGCAATATTTTACAAGAGTCTTTTTGCTTTCCGTGCCTCTGCTCCCTGCAATGTCCCGCCAATGGGCGAGTATACAGCCGAGAGGGCTCTTTTTTAACACCCCTCTCTGAGTATTACCCATCTTGTTTCTGTAAAACACTCACTTAACACGATCACCACACAGCAGTCACTCACAATCTTATGATCACCACACAGCAATCACTCACAATCTTATGATCACCACACAGCAATCACTCACAATCTCCCATTCTCACGGACGTCCACATACTTACAGCACTTTCATCTGAAGTTAAAACAGAACACAACAAAATAAAACACTACAAAACAAAACAAAACAAAACGCCTTTTCAATCACTCTTGCCTGTGGCCGCCCTATCGGCCAACAGGTCCCCCCCCCGATTGGAGCCAGCGACCACTCTATCGCTCTGTGGCAAGATGTAATTGCCCCCAGACTCCCCTCACCCGCACGACAAACAGAACACAACAAAACAGAAGAAAACACAACAAAACAAAGGCCTTTCAATTTGGAGCCAGCGACCGCTCTATCGGTCTGCGGCAAAATATAATTGCCCTCTAGACTCCCCTAACCCGAATGGAGCCAGCGACCGCTCTATCGGTCTGCGGCAAAATATTGCCCTCTAGACTCCCCTAACCCGCACGAATTCGCGCCTTTTCGGTGCACCTACCCGGCTTAGCTGCACGCCAGACGTCTCTGCGCGATTTACCAGCTGCCCCAACCACGCGTACGATTTACAGGCTCCTATCCTTGAACATACCGTTTGGTCCGCGGCTTCAGGAAGTCCTTGTCTGCCCCCCACGGTGAGCGGCTGGTAGCGGAGGCTCCTCCGAGGAAAGTGCTCGGGGCGCGCCTGGGAGAGTCCGCCCCGCAGTCGATCCCGTAGTCGAGCAGAGAGTCTCCTGCCTGGCTCGCCAAAACTGACGTGCGGAAAACAGACTCCACAATCTGATAGATTGTAAAGTAGGTATGTTTATTCAGCGCTGGGCACACAGGGGATCACTCCTCCTAATGTGTGCTACCATGTGGCACCATTGCCTTAGATTTATAGAGCAAATGATTACATATTCATAATATTTCGCAATACGCCTATACATATGCATCACCTATCCCCGCTTCGTATTAAAATTAGCATTTCCATGATCTCCTCCCAGTTGAGTCTGCGCAGTGAGTTCCTTTGGTCCTGGGCAGGGGTCGTGAAGGACTGGGCGGTGGTCGTGGGAGGAAGTATCTCCTCTTCCTCAGTGCTGAACTTTTCACCCCGAATTCCTGCGCAGTCTCTGTCACCCCCCTGGACCCGCAGAGCAGGTTTGTGCCGTTGTGGGGTTAATCTTCGCTTACTCAGGGGTGGAGGAGGCTTTTTACTTAAACAGGAGATAGTGGTCGAGCAACACAAACACCTCGTACAAGCTAGGCAAACTCTTATCTCGACTATTTCCCTCCTCATCCCCTTCTTGCTATTCCCATATTAACCCTTACATCCCCTGTTCCTATCTAGGCCCTGTATCATCATAGTTGAGAATAAGGAATTACTTGATTCAAAATATTGAAGTAAAGTGAGTTCACAAATTATAAAGAATTTGCCAGCTAATTTCAGCTTCAAGCTGAAGTTCAAGCTCCAAGCACTAAATATGTGGTACAATTCTGTACTTTTTCTAAAATTGTCACTGGAAAAAATGTTGCCTTTTTTAACACTTAAACATATAGATACAATGTATTCTTATTTTTAGTCTGTGATGATAATTTAGGATGTGTACTTAAGAAGCATTTCTTTGGAAACAAATAGGATACACCTGTGCTATTAAAATGATCCTTGTTTCAAAAGTCAGTTAACTGGCCTGAGAACTTTATATTTCAGAGAATAAGATAAAACAAACTGAAGTCAAAATAGCAAATTCTTTGACAGAGATATTACATGGATACATAGGACCTAAGGTAAGAAAAACATTCTTCTGCATGTACTTCTGCAATTTAAGTAACAGGAAACACTTAATTGTCCTCAAAAAATGAGATGTCGAAGTCACAAACTGAAAGAAGAAATTTGCAGTGCTGCTTTAAAAGCAAATCACAAAGCAATTACATTTTTTTGTCATTAGTGCTGCCTCCATAAGGCAGTTCTTACCTAATACTATTTTTGTATGCTGCAAACATTTTTATTCTCATAGAATAGAAATAACACTTTTGTTATTAACATTCTGCAGTGCACTTCTTGTCATAAGAAATATGTGATGAATGTGCTGTCAGTGTAGAAACCATTAAAAGAGGGAGTACAACGAAACAGAAAATGACAAATTAAAGGCTATTCTATATGGTGTCTCAGAGGGTAAAGATCTTCCTTCATTCCTCAAACAACATCCTTGCTGGTTTACCTTCAGAATGAGGCTTTCATACAATTTAAAATTAAAGACTAAACCCTATTAAGAATGACAAAAAATATGTCCAATTTAATGCTGCTAAACCTGCAATTCTACTGGAGAAATGCTAGGAAAATTGTCTTTCATCACCTACTGCCATGAGAAAATGGCTGGAAGAGCTGAGCAAGTTTCTTCAAGTAAATTTGAAATTTGCAATCTTTGACAGTGTTTTTTGGAAGCCTTGTCAAGATGTTTTGAGTTTTGACTTCATTCTATTGGCATGTCAATAGATGTAGTAATATATATGACAACGATTTTTTAAATTTCATCAGACATAAGTCTTTTAGGTTTTGTTTAAGGGAATTTGGGAACTTGAAAGCAATGTGATTTTCTCATTTCTCTAGTATGTGGGCAGTATTCAGATATTAGTATAGGTCAATGTGTACGTATTACGTTAGTGGTCAAACTCATTGCAAGCTCTGTCCTTTGTACAACCTAACAAAGGTATACCCATGCTAACAGCTTGGCTTCTCCAGAACAGGGTCTTGAAAAATGGGAATAATAACTAGCAGCAAGTGTTTATGCTTACTTCCCTTCTTTGGAGAAACTGAGTGATTTCCAGTAATGAAAGGCAAATCCTTTGCTAACAAATGCTTCCTGTCAGTCACTACAGTCTTTTCTCACTTTCCCACCTCGAAGGAACTGAGCTTCTGGATAGTTAACAGAAAATTAAACTGCTACTGCTGCTGTTGTTTTCTGTCTCCTGCCACCTAACACCTCATTACTTGATAGAGGGCCTTGACCTGTCATTTGAGGATTATAGCTCTTTAGAAACCAGTTAAGCGTCATTGTGATGATTAAAATCATGGTCTCATAAGCACCTGAAATGTTTGTTTCTTTCAGTGAACTATACAAATTTTAAAACATTCCTACACACGCAGGCGCGCACACACACGCATGCACACATAAATACTTCAGGCAGATCTAGTAATTTTAGGTCAATTATCACTTCTAATTTTAATGTGCCTATAACTCTGCCAAGCAACATCATTACAGCTTCAGTTTTACAAGCCATATGTCTCTCACCTGATGCTGGCTATTTTGTTTTGTCCAAGATTCAGAATTCTGGCAAAATTCAGACAAATATTCTTTTTAGAAAGCTTAGATTTGGAATATAACAGGAAAGTTTGTGGAGAGTCTTTAATGGGTGACAACCCCATACAATGCTACAGGCTTGGGGAGGAGTAGATGAAAAGCTTCCTGGCAGAAAGGGACCTGAGAGTGTTGTTTGGCAGCTGGCTGAATATGAGCGGCAGTGTGCCCAGGTGGCCAAGAAGGCCAATAGAATCCTGGGTTGTTTCAGAAATAGTGTGGCCAGCAGGACTAAGGAAGTGATCGTCCCCTGGTACTTTGCACTGGTGAGGCCACACCTTGAATACTGTGCTCCCTTTTGGGCCCCTCACTACAAGAAAGACATCTAGGTGCTGGAGTGTGTCCAAAAAAGAGCAAGGGGTTAAGGGTCTAGAGCACAAGTCCTGTGAGGACCAGCTGAGGGAACTTGTGTTGTTTAGCCTGGAGAAAAGGAGGCTGAGGGGAGACCTTATAGCCCTCTACAACTACCTGAAAGGAGGTTGTAACCAGGTGAGCGCTGGTCTCTTTTCCCAAGTAACAAGTGATAGGACAAGAGGAAATGGCCTCAAGTTGCACTAGGGGAGGTTTAGACTGGATATCAGGAAAAAAATATTCACCAAAAGGGCTGTCAAGCACTGGAACAGGCTGCCCAGGGAAGCAGCTGAGTCACCATACCTGGGAGTATTTAAAAGATGGGTAGATGTGGCACTTAGGGATGTGGTTTTGTGGTGGACTTGGTAGTGTTAGGTTTACAGCTGGACTCAATGATTGTAAGGGTCTTTTCTAACTTAAATTATTCTATGGTTCTATGATTTAGGGTTTGTTACTTGTTCTTTGTTCTTAATCTCCCCCTTTACAACTTTTTGAGGCATGAAGGAGAAAGGCACCTTAGTGTAATTCAAATGTTCTGAAGGTTCTGTATTGGAGCTAAAAACACAGGAGTATCTCACCTCACTTTAGGGCTTGTCCAAAGAGTGTCTGGCAAGATGTCAGACTGTTACACTATTACTTCAAGTACAGAAGTCTGTGCAGAGAATTTTCAGATTCCAAGTCAACTGATGACCTGAATGGATGACATTAGTCTTGTGCAGTGATATTTCTCTTTTTCCATTTTTTTAGTTCACTGTGAGATGTGTAATGTTTATACTGTGCACTGAAAGAGGCAAAGATCTTGAAGAGAAAAAATTAGGTAATCATGAAGTTACAGACTACACCAAAGTGTGCACTCAGGGCATCTAAATTAATTCCACTTATTTTCTGACTTTGCAACTTGTGCAGGGGGTTGGGGTAGGGGGTGGGGAGGTGGTATGTGAAGATATTTCATTTACTTTCATCTCAGTTTCTGAAGGCAGTAATAAGTAGATTTAAAATGTTTTGAGGGTCTGGGGTTGCTAGCAATTTTGCTGGAATCTCTTCCCTTTATGTAGTTTCTCCAAACATTCAAAAACACGATCAAACACATGAGCAATGTATGGGTTGCTCTCACCCCAAATAAATGTTTATTTCCTTTTCCTTTTTTTACAACATGATGACTTACAGGAAACTATTAAGATCACGTGTTGAAATGGAATATACAAACTTTCTCTTCTGTTTCCTGCATTATGTCCATCTTATGTTGGCAATGACCGTAGTCTGATAGTTTTATAAAGCAATCATGTGGAACATAAGACAAAAAATGCCTCTCAACATTCTTGTTGCAGAAGTCAAGAACTGTGTGGACATACAGACTGACAGATTTTCTCATCTTGTAAATACCTGCCCAAGTTTCTGCTAAGGGGGTTTTGGTTGAATAATGTAGGATATAGCCGTGTACATGTATAACAAAGCTGGCAGGGGTGGGGGTTAACTGAGTTTTTAAGACTCCAATTTGCAAATTGAACCGTTCTGGGCAATTCAGCGCTTTTCCTTAATGCCACGCAATGCTTAAGAAAAGAAAAACATTTAGGCTTTATCACTTTACAACCAAGCCACTGCTGCCCCCAGGTGTCCAGCAGGCACTGACACATGAGCTGGGCTGCAACTATAGGATCTTTAACAGTCAGGGATGGAACGTGTAATCAGGTGGTGAGATAACATGAGTACCTGGCTACATTCTTATTTCCGAGACATAAAAAGCAGCAACACCTTTTCACTGAGTTGGCGCTAGACGATGCGTTATTTAACCTCCTCCAGCAGTTCCATTTAAAAGTCATCTGAGTTTATATCCTTTTCCAGTCTTTACAATTAAATAGGTAGAGCAACTATTAACAGTTTTCAAGTATAGTCTGCATACAAAATCTCAGTTTTCATAATGAACCTGAAAGGGCTGCTTTTGTTCCACTGTTTGGATTATTCAGGGCAAAGGACCAGCTCACACAGATGCTAAAATTCTGGCTCATTTTTAGTTCCTTTTAATCCATTATTCAGTTTGTAACATTGTATGTAAATTCTGAGAAAATTCATTCAGAATTCAATTAATAAGTGCTAAACATTTGGGGAAGATATGATGAATTCCATGTACTTAACAC